GCTAGGGGCAAGCTTTCTGTTGGGGGAAACTTTAGAGATAATTGCATTTAGATTTTATCATAAGAATGTAACTTTTGCTTAAGGAGAGGTCATACTTTAGATAATGAGCCAGTTTGACCAATTTAGCTCTTTACTAATTGTACTTTGGAATGTCACTTTATTTTACTGATGTTACTAGTTTCCATTGTTAAGCTATACTTAGCCATAGACAACTTTTGTAACATTGCCCATGTCCTTATGTCCTTCTTTGATGATTGAATCAGCTGATTTTTCTTGTGAAACTTCCTTGTCTTGTCAATAAAAAGAAAGGCTGATTTTGGATCTGGGCTGCTCCCCTGATGGGTGGCAGTCCCTCCAGGCCTTATTGATGGTATTTTGAGTGAGTTCTTTCTTTCTCTTTTCTCGGTCTCAGTTACACAGAGGAAAGTGTAACAATAACTCCCTAACCTGGGCCACTGCTTTCTCCTGGGCCCCATGTGACCTATTTCATCTGTCCCCCTGCCTAGGGTCACAGCCCCCCAGCCCCAGAGTGGCTCAGCTGCCTCTGGATGGCCCAGGCTCTGGATGCTTCAGCACTTTGGGCGTGTGAATCATTTCCTCCATTTTTGATTTACTGTTGTGGGCTCAGAGCGAGGCCCCGCAGACTCACCGTAAAGCCTTCTCTCATTTCTCCATCAGCATTAGTTGCTCCCTGTTCTTGCCGCCCAAGGCCTATATTTAGTGCTCATTTTCTTCTGCCTTGTTTTAGTTGTTTACGTTCTTGCCTCCCTATCGCAGCCTGCAGACCATGAGCACATCCCCAGGGAAAGGGGCCAGACTTGATTCACAGCTGTACTCCCAGCACCTAGCACAGCACCTAATGTTTAATAGACACATCTTTTTTAAAAAGCTGCTATTACAAATGATGAATGATAGGATTATAGAGCTAAGGTGACATCAGATCAAGCACCCTTGACATGCCATCTTCCAACTTACCAATTTGAAAGCTAATTGAGACATAGAAAAGGACAAAAAACTTAGAACCATTCAGAAAACTTAGTGGTAAATTGTTGGCAGGAGTCCAAAATGGAATTTTCCCTAATGTCATGCCAGCAGGGCTGGGCAAAGTCACATGGTGTGTGGCCTGTGCGTGCCTTTCCCTCTGAAGTGGCCCAGAACCTCCAGGCAGGAAGCACACGGGGAGAGGGTTGGGCCCTCACTCCCTGTGCAGNTCCCCAGGGAAAGGGGCCAGACTTGATTCACAGCTGTACTCCCAGCACCTAGCACAGCACCTAATGTTTAATAGACACATCTTTTTTAAAAAGCTGCTATTACAAATGATGAATGATAGGATTATAGAGCTAAGGTGACATCAGATCAAGCACCCTTGACATGCCATCTTCCAACTTACCAATTTGAAAGCTAATTGAGACATAGAAAAGGACAAAAAACTTAGAACCATTCAGAAAACTTAGTGGTAAATTGTTGGCAGGAGTCCAAAATGGAATTTTCCCTAATGTCATGCCAGCAGGGCTGGGCAAAGTCACATGGTGTGTGGCCTGTGCGTGCCTTTCCCTCTGAAGTGGCCCAGAACCTCCAGGCAGGAAGCACACGGGGAGAGGGTTGGGCCCTCACTCCCTGTGCAGGACTGCACTAGCCGGAAAACTGGCAGCACCCTCCTGTCACCCAGGTGTGGCTCTTTGAGGCAGTCACTTCTGTCCATGCTGCTCCCTCCATTAGACTGTCTCTGTCCCTGTCCGGGGGCAACTGTGGCGCTCAGTACCTATGAGGCAGGCAGCAGAGTGGGACTGGAGAACAGGTGGCCTGGAAGTCACGCTCGCCTCTTGCATGGACACGAAAGAGGGAAAAGTGCAGTTTTATTGAGCTGTGTCTTATACAGAGTAGTGTGGAGGCATTGTAGCAACTAAATCGTATTAACCCGGTTGGAAGGTCTCTGGCAGGAGAGTATAACGTATTTATATTTACTCTGGCATGTTTGGTCTTATTTTTTTCATCTTGGTTTATGCTTTCTCTTTTTTATGAAGATACCTCAAAAAGTCCATGGATCAATTCATATTATCTTTCAATTCTATTTTTCCATGGACTTTTTGAAGCGCCCTTGTATGTTTCTCTTGGTTTTGTTTCACTTTCTGTGATACACATGATGACTTGTTTTTATCTTCTTCTGTGATTTGGAAAGCGTACAGCCTATTGTTTCAATTCTGCCAGTACCTTCAAGATTTCCAAAAACTTTCCTGAAGCCACGTGTATTAGTTCGTTTCTGTTGCATATAACAAAATATCTGGAACTGGGTAATTTGTAAAGAAACAGTATTTATTGTTTACAGTTCCAGAGGCTGGGAAGCCCACGTGTGTTAGTTCGTTTCTGTTGCATATAACAAAATACCTGGAACTGGGTAATTTGTAAAGAAACAGTATTTATTGTTTACAGTTCCAGAGGCTGGGAAGTCCAGGGTCCAGGGAACACATCTGGTGAGGTGACTCTACAGCAGTGTCACATGGCAAGAATGGTGGAGCGGAGAGCTAACTTCTCCTCCTTTTTAACCCTGCAGAACCACACCTGTGACCACCATTAAATCATCAGTGGATTAATCCATTTAACTTGGGCATGGCCCTCACCATCTAATCACCTCTTCCGGGCTCCATCTTTCAATTACCATATTAGGATTTCCCACCCTCAATAGTGGGGATTAAGCTTCAGTAAGTTTGGGAGGACATTCAACCCATTGCACCATGTTTCTCTGTCAGATTTAGAATAAATCTATCATTTTTGCCTCCCTTACAATATAAGATGAGAAGTTTTTCAACTTTTTCAGGCCCGTACTTCCATGTCTGTCCACTAACAGTATCTCTTTTTAAAAACTATATAGGTCTTCTTTTTTAAAGATTGGTTTTGAAATTGACATCCAAATTTTAACCATGTTTATGATCGTTTCTATTGAATTCTCTGTGTTTAAGTGGTTTCTGTGTATACTGCATGCTCCAGTTACCATGGCTGCACAACAAATTATCCTAAAACTTAATGGCTTAAAACAATAATCACTTATTATCTCTTGCCATTTCTGTGCATTGAAATTTAGACAGAGGGTAGCAGGGATGGTTTGTCTCTCTTCCACGATGTCTGAGACCTCTGCAGGAAGACTCAAAAGTTGAGCCTCTAGCTTGGCTAGAATCATCTAAAGTCTTGTTCATTTAGGTTGGTGTTGGCTGTCGCCCAACTGGAGGCCTGGCTGAGGCTATTGGCCAGAACACCCACACGTGGCCTCTTGTGTAGCCTAGCCTTCCTCATGATGTAGTGGCTCAGTTCCAGGTACAAGCATCCAGAGAGAGCGAGCCACCTGGAAGCCATGTTGCCTTTTATGACCTAACCTCAGAAGTTATTCAGTGTCACTTCTGCTACATCCTATTTGTTGGGGCAATTACAAAGGTTTGCCAAAGTTCGATGGAAGTGTATCGATATCACTTTGTAAGGTGAACATGTGGGATGCCCACACATGTACACACGCATGTGCATGTATATGTACATACACGTGTACAAATATGTATATGTTGGTGCAGTCATTTTTGAGAAAAGACCATCAGCCACACTGTATTTTCTTAAACTCTTGATTTTGAGTTATGTTTTAGGCAGTTAGGGTATGTATTTGAGTAATTCTTTCAGAAAGATTGCATGAGTGGATATCTGAAGGCATCTATGAAATCTCAATGTGTCGTATGTAAAACTGCCACCTTCTTTTACAAATTATAGAAGTAATACAGGTTCATTGTAAATAATTCAAACATTGCAAGAAAACACCACGAAAACAAAAACCAAAGGCAGTGAAAATCCTTCATAGCTCCAGCTTCCAGAGATAAACCCTGTTAACAGTTTGATATATATGTTCGTGTAGG